TATTCTCATTTGTTTGCACTTGAAAAGTTTAACAAAGTGAGCAATGTTACGTTGGCAAATGTTCAGAAATCAGAGTTGTTAGACCCTTTTTTTTTTTTTTTCTGGTTTGCTTGTTTTAAGGCAGGTAGTAATGAAGAAATTTGTGTTTTCAGCCATTAAGTTCTCTCTCAAAATCGACCGTTAATCTATATGCTCAGGTATTTGAAACATGGAAGTTTATTAAACAACAAAAAGGCGTTAAGGGAAGAATACGTTTATTGGTCGTCTCTCATGGCGGCACCGAAGGGACGGTAGTTTCAACTTAAATCTCAATCCAAATCTTTTTAAATTTCAATTATCAGATATGTCTTATTTTGGTGATAATAATTCGAGTAAACACACAGTCGATTATAACATAGGTCAATGTGAGTAATGAAAGTATTTGCTCATTTCGCTAACAAGAAAATAAAAAAAAAAAACAAGCAAAGGGTGAGGGAGTTATACAACCACTTCCAGATTATGATAATGAAAAAAAAAATGAATTAATTGAATGAATGAACTTTCAAATAAACAATAAAAACAATATCCACTCTAAAATCATCTAAATTTTTTCATTATTTCTAAAGTTACGCAACAAATTCATTTTAAAATCTGTTCCACAATAAAATCAGCATACTCGTCGCCCTTCTTTTTGGTCACTTCCGGTGAAGAGGTATCGGTAACGAGGCCGAGGCAGGAGCAGTTGCACTCAGAGAAAGTGAACCGCTGATCCGGTTTGCCGTCCACGGGGATCCGGCCCTCGGGGGCTTCGGTTGTATCATCCGGGATGCAGTCTATAGACCACCAGTACGGGAGCTCCGGCATCTGCATAATGCCCCGGATTTTCCGCGCCCAGCCTTCCAAAGTGTTTGCCACGGCCGTGTAGGCCTCTCTCCCTTTCGTCTCGTAGATGGCCCCGGAGCGGAGGGTGGCACAAAAAGCTGTCTCGTCTACCGGTTTCTTTACGATCACTTCCATTACTCTGTCCTTGCTCAACAAGAACCGATACTCCCCGCTCGCTATGAGTGGTAAAAAAGGCATACTGATGGCTTCCTTCCCGAATGACTCGCGGAAATCTCGTACGACATCCTTGCGGGGTTTGTCTTCGGTTTTCAGAGCGTGAGCGTCCGTGATTCGAACGGTGTTCGCGTCGATGTTCTCCAGTTTCCAGATCCCAGAACCCGTGCTTCCTAGCAGGGTCTTCAACACGCGGTTGGTTCCGTTCAGAGGTAAAATGCTATCAATCTCGTTGTCGTCTTCAAGGGCATGGTACCGCACCCCCGGGACTCCTAATTCGGTATTCTGGAGGTAGTATAAAGCGATCTTAGATCCCAAGGAACCCATATGGTCGGGAAACGGTCCAACTAGGAGTTTCTCGCGTGCAAGATCCGCGAGAAGCCGTAGGTAGTTGTGAAGCTTGAGGTCCTCGAAGTCGCCGGGGTTGACGCGTCCGAGAAAGTGCGTCTCCGGGTAGTCCTTTGTGAGGCTTTCAACGGTGGTGGCGTCGGTGATGTAGATGATTTCCGAGGGGATGCCCTTTCGAATGAAAGCATCTCGAAGCCATGGTGTGTCCCGGCGATATTTTCGATCACTCTCGACGTGTTTGTCCGGCGAGGATTTGCACTCGAGGATCACGACCTTTTTAATGACCATAGCTATGGATGAAATTTGACGTAGATTCTTGTTTTTTTTTAATTTGAAAGAAAGAAAAAGAAATAGCTCTACCTTGATTATATTTCACTTGTAGAAATATGAAGAAACTGAAACCCGTTACGTTTGCTCTCCGATTTTGGCACTTTTAAAATATAGAGGAATATGTTACGTTGCCAATATCAGTCCAGTTGATGTTGAATTCACTCTAGATATTTGTCCCCGTTTTTCGTATGTCCAGCAAAGTTTCGGTTTTTGTCTTCTCGGTGATACCAGAACGAACCTTTCACTTTGAACTCAAGATATTTTATATCCAAACGAAATATATTGCAACCGCTCTTGTAACTTTTTTCCTCTTTGTAGAGAGCCGACGTCGTTCTTCGATCTGATAGGTGGTTGCTATTGGTCAAAGTTGCCTCTGATGATGTCGATGCATAATACTTTAGAATTATTTTTCTTTCTTTCGCTTTTTTGATGTTCTCAGTCCTCAAATTTGCCAAAAGGATGCAGTTATATCGCCCAGAAAGAGATAACAAATAACGGAAAATGGCGGCGATTTGCCTCTCCCAGAAAATGATTTTCACATTTTCATACATTAACAAAGGTCTACTCTAATATGGTAGTGGGGGAAGGGGGGGGCACTATCAATGGAGAAGTAAGTTAAGAAAACGAGCACAACGAGGCAGCAAAATCCTGAAAAAATGTTTCTTTTTTTTCGCAAAATTTTAAAACGCTTTGAAAAAGTTCCCTGAGTTCGGCGAATTGCATTGGTGCATGGTCCACATTTTAGACTTAAGTTAATAACGAATAAAGTTTGAGCATTTTTAAAAATATTGCGTGTTAAGGTCATAGAAGCACATCCAGAACAATATTTATTTGGAATAAAGTGATTCTTTAAAAGTCCCGCCTCCTCTGTCTTCAGTCAATACCACGAAAAATAGAGCTAGTAATCTAAGAAAAAAAAACTGGTTTGATATGTGCCTCATGTATTGAGCAGAACCCCCCTGGGCTCAACCAATCTAAGAAGGGCGTGTCAAAGATCACGTACGCAGTGTAACATTTATCTGAAATTGGTAACAATACAAATGCGCATGCGCATACGGAACATTTTGAAAATCCTTGTTTCGGGCAAATAGATACATTTCACAAAAATACAACAAATAATATTATTAAGCGACATCACGGAAGAACGTGATGTTTTCTTGTAACTTTATTTTATCAAACATCTACCAACGTTTCAAGAAAAAAGTCACCAAAATACCCAATATACCTTGAAAGTTTTGAACATTTGGAAATATATGCATGTGCGGGATATCAGTAGTTTGTTGCATACGTCTGTCACTGAAAATACATGTTCTGGCAAGAAAAGAAAAATAACACAAAGCCCCCCGATAAATTCATTGTAATGGTGCCAGATCACTCGAGGGTCGATTCATGGCCTGTAACGTAACAGGATTACGTAAAATAAATATTGCACCTGTTACACAACGAGTAAGACTTATCTTTATGTCAGAAGATTTAGCTTGATCAGAGGTAGACAAATTTTATGCTGTTTGAGCTTGGGCCAACATTCGAGTAACGTTATTTCGTGAAATCGGCCCCCGTAACGCCCTGTAAATCCCTCATGGCACTCCAAATACGGCTCCACGCTTTCACTTGCTATACGATCTCAATTTAGTCGAAGTAACCTATTACATCACTTCAAAATACCCACGTTTTAGGCACATAGTAAGTGTATACGGCATTTGCGAAATAAATTCGCACAAGGTAAATAATCCCCCTCAAAAAAAAAAAAAAAAAACTTATGTTTGTAATACTTAAAATACTCGTACAGAATTTTTGACAAATTAGATGGTTTTGCATCAAACAATAAGTCAGAAAGGACATTGAGAATTGAAATTGAGAATCGTAAAAAAAGCAAAATATAACAAAAGCGAGGCGCATTATTCTTAAGAAAATTACCGTGCTTCTGCCCTCATCAGTTCTTCCTGTAGTCCGTAGTCCTACATGTAGGCCTACATACAGAGAACTGGGAATGGTATATAATTTGATTATTTTCAAGCGCAGATGAGCCTCGGAGCTCAAACGCTCATATATACATATGAACAAAATACGAATTTCTCTACGAACACAATTTTCGTACAAAACTCGAGTCGGCTTACGAACAGTGTTTCTGGAAACGAAATCGTGGGTGGCCACGTGTTTGCGTCAATACGTACGTGTTTTCATACGTGAGTGGTGACTAATTTGCCCTTCGCTATTTTTGCGAAATACTGGAGAGTATTACCTCATTCTAGATGCCAAGAAAGTGAAAGGTGTTACTTTGTGGTGTTAAGAGAAAAGGGGAATCTTGGAGAAACGTGAAAACATGTCCCTGCTTCTGATCTCAAGAAGCAGTACAACATGGTGAAATCGACGACCTTGAGCTGGGGTACGAATTGTTCGACCATGAGGAGAAATGTTTATGGTTTTTGCTGCATTTAATTTCAACAATTTGATCATTTCTTTCTTTCTCCGAAGCACAGAAATTTTAATCATATTTAAATACAAGCAAACGAAACAATTCGGCAAACGTTTGTCCCCTCTTGACTAACTAATCTACTGTCTGCAGACAGATAGCTCTCTTCTGAAGCAATGTATTGCGTCGTTCAGAAATTGCTGTAGTGCGGCCCCCACATCCCCGTGCATTTAATTTTTTTATTGCTCGTGAATTCAAATAAATGAATAAACACAAACAACTCGTGACATTTCCAACTTCAAATGGTTTTATTCTAAATATTTTATATATACACAAACAAGCAACAATTGCATTTTAATGCAAAAACAATTGGCGTATTCACATATACAGCACGATATGATGTCATCAAGTATAATTGTTCTAAAACAAAACAATATTTTACAAACTGAACCATCTGATTACTATATCTATATTCCCATACCAAACAATAAATAGGTCCATTATTTTGTAAGAGCACATACGGTATAAAATATAGATAAATAACTTATAAAATCTTCGTGCTATTTTCTTTCACTGTTAAAGTTTGTTTTCAACAGACTTTTAAAGATAAAGGAAAAAAAGTTCTATAAATAAAGCAATCTACTATAAAATTTCCACTGTTGAATCATGATCGAGGTTTAAACCTTCCTATAAAAGAAAACAACTCCAACGTAATAAATAGCACAACCATCAAAACTAGAAATTTCTCCATAATCTAGTTTGTTCACAAATTTCATCAGAATTGCCCACATAATTCTTGTATGTTCCATTGTCTAAAATTACCAGTGCATAATTCCTGATCATTTACCACGATAACCAAAAGCTTTGTGTGAATGTGTGCACGTGTGTGTGTGTGTGTGTGTGTGTGTGTGTGTGCATGTGCGTGCAAGCAAATAAGTTAGAGGTAGATTGTATGTATGAATGCACGTACGTGAACATGTGTTGTACGTGCGCACGTTTGTATGCATGCATGTTTCCACACATCAAATTTGCTTGCCTTCAACAAAACAATATCAGCGACAAAACATTTCCATCGCCGTCTTTCAACAAACACACGAAGGACGTAGAGCCAAAATTTTAGGCTGACCACCTCTCAAAACTGCCCCATGGTCCAGTGGGGAATCTGACCGGTGGACATGTCAATGGGTCCAGCCAGGTGACCATGAGGGGGCAAGAGGTTCGGGTGCTGATGGGGGTGAGGCGGCGGCATCTGGTTCGTCACGGGCTGCATCAGCGCTGTGCGTATTGCCGAGACTGGCAACTGCCCCGAGCCCGTCATGTGACTGGTCATCACTTGGCTGGTCGCTATGGAAGAGGGTTGCTGATGCTGTTGGTGTTGCGGTTCTTGATGTTGTTGCTGTACGTGTTGTCCCAAAGTCACGTGCTGCACTGAGAGGATTTGGTTGCCGGCGTACAAGGGCACGGGCGAGCAAGACTCGATATGAGGTTGGTCGGAAACGCTGGCGATCTGCTGCTGTCCTGAAACGACCTGATTGGACAAATGACTCAATTCAGACGACACTGCTTGCACGGTCTGGGTCGCCAACATCTCCAGGGCAGAACTAAACACATCCGCCGTGCGCATGGAGACGTCGGACAAAAGAGGGCGCTTCGGAACCTCCTTGACGACATCCGTCCGCGCCACCTTCAAATACTTCACCTCCACTCCCTTGTGTTTATGCAGGCAATGTTTGCGAACGTTCCCCGATATCTTACACCTAAAATCACAATACCCGCATTTAAAGGGCTTCAAATCTCTGTGCGTGTGCATCACGCGAATGTGCTCCTTCAAGTGATAATTATCCGCCGTCACGTGATCGCAGTGGGGACATTTCACCTTCTTCTCCGTATGAACCCAGCGTATGTGCTTGGCCAGCGTGCGGTCGTGAGCAAACGTCTTGCCGCAGATGTTGCAGACCATGTCGCGGATGTTGAGGTGTCCCTTGATGTGTCGCTCGTGGTGTTTCTTCCGGGTCGTGGTGTAGCCGCAGATGTGACACTGGTAGACTTTGATCTTGCTGTCCAGTCTCTGGTTGTGTCTGGCTAGAACGTGGCCTAAAAATAAACAAATTCACCCAATGAGATTTATGATTAGAAAAGAACATAGTCTAGAAGTAAACAAATGCACCCAATAAGATTTATGATTAGAAAATAACATGACCTTGAAGTAAACAAAGTTAACCAATAAGATTTATGATTAGAAAGAAACATGGCCTACAAGTAAACAAATACTCTCAATTAGATTTTTGATAATAAAAGAACATAAACCAGATGTAAGGAAATTCACCCCATCAGATATATGATAAAAGAAGAGACAAATACAGCCAATCAGTTCTATAATTACAAAAATAAAAAATAAATGTTAAGAAAAGAACTTGGCCCTCGAAAAGGTTTAATTGCAATAACTCAAATTTCCAAACCCCAAAAATATTCTTTCCAAAATAAAACCAACTAATTTTTCAAAAACTTTAACATCAATATCTTAAAGCAATACTAAATCAAAGCATTGCTTTGAGGCATATGCTTATTTATTGAGTACTAATCCTATCCTTCACTTACTCGCCAAATCTGCCTTGCTAACAGTGGAATATGAACAGTGTTCACATATGTAAGGTTTATCCGTGAGGTGACGCGCCTCGTGAGTTTTCAGCTCGTGTTCCTCTCCGTAAGATGCTCCGCACACTTGACACAAGTAAGGCCTTATGTTCAGGTGGCGCTTGTTGATATGCTTCTGTAAGGTTCTGAAAAGAATTGAAAATATTAATAATTTTTTATAATTACTGAGGTCATGTTCCGATTCATCCTGCATTGTGGTATCACTTAAGAGGAAAAAAAACTTATATTGGAGGTTTGAAAAACAGCAATTTGGAAGGATATTACTTGTCAGTTTTCACAAAATGTCCACAGTAAAAAAAGAAATTTTCCGGAAATTCTTGCAATATGCCTTATCGCCAAGGTATGTCCTATCCAAAATTGTTGCAAAATTTAAAAAACATTTTTTTTTTTTAAGTTCAAATTTTCTCAAATAAAGGCCTTAAGATCACTGTATACATTAAAACCCATCTCAACCTCTGACTTTTATCACTCACAATCTAACATTCATGTATTCTTGGGTGTACTTACTTCTCTGTTTTCACGCAGCGTCCACAGTAAGGGCAATTGAACGGCTTGTCCTTCTTATGCTTGGTGGCGTGTAGTTTTAGACTGTTGCTTGCTGTCGTTTCATACTCACAACCTTCTTCTGGGCACTTGAAAGTCTATAGGAATATAATTTGAACAATTTTTCTCTTTAATATGTTTGGGAGTGCTGTACTAGTACAAAAGAAAGATAAAACTTCTTCACTTTGTATGATAATTTTAAGAATACCATTTTTTTCCAGTTTTTTTAATGCATCAGTAATTATAAGGTCTTTCAGCAATTAAAAATTTCTTTCACTCCGATATTTTTTGAAACATTTTATTAATACCAGATCTACTGGCTTTAACAAATTCCAAGAAAATACATTATCTCTTCCAATTTTCAATCAAACACAATAAACTCTAAACTGCTTGTTGGTGAACATAAATAAATAAATAAATAAATAAATAAATAAATAAATAAATAAGACCTACCCTCAGCCCATCTCCTCGGACTTCATGCTTATTAAACATGTGAATTCTAAGATGGTAGCGTTTGCGATATTTCTTCCCACACAGTGTGCACACGACACCCATGCCTCGCTCATGACGTAGGGTGTAATGGCGGCGTACGTCCATTTTGAGGCAGCTCTTGTATGTACAGCCCAAATATTCACAATTAAAGACCACTTCTGGGTGCACCTGGTAATATCACAGAACGACCTCATAATTTCATTTCACCATCATTTCAGAATTCATTTCAGAATTCATTTCAGAATTATTATTATTATTATATTTCAGAATTCATTTCAGAATTATTATTAATACCTCCGCCAAGGAGGTTGTTTTCACCCCTGTTTGTCTGTCTTTCTGTCTGTGTGTTTGTTTGTCATCAACATAACTCAAAAAGTTATGGACCAATTTTGATGAAATTTTCAGGATAGGTGGGAAATAGGTTAACTTAGAAGTGATTAGTTTTTGGTGGTGATCCGGATCCATAATCAATCAATAATCAATAATAATCAAAAATTGCTGCCTTGGTGGAGGTCTGCGATCTTGGAGTGCTTTTGTAGTTATTATTATTGTAATGAAGTATACTGCTTTCCTATCACCTATACACTGTCACAATATTTAATAAAGATCCTAAAGGTGCACATTACATGAAATATACTGCTTATGTAATATATGTATGTTGCCACAACCTATTATAATATAGAAAATCCTGGGTATTTTTATGAACTTTAAAATTTTTTGCCCATTGTAGCTATCTATAAACAAGATTCTTAGTGCATTAATTCATGTAAAATATACTGCTTAGTAATATATACTATATGTACTCTGTCATCACATTTAAACAACATCCTGTGTGTTTTGATGTATGAAAAATCTAATGACTGGTCTTAAATTATATGCACACTGCCAGTAGATCATGCTTCTAAACAAGCTATGCAAAAACTTCCCCCTTCTCCAATTTAATGATGATATGAAATAACAATAATTACAATAAGCCGGGAAAAATGGAAATTTGTGAATCTTAATTCCAAAATCAAGGGGCCCTTACTGTCTCTACGTGGATCTTTAGCGTTGGTGTGCTGTCCGTGCTAAACGTGCAACCCGGGACGTCACATCTGAACGATCGCAACTGCAAGTTGTTCTTCCTGATTGGCTGATTGAGATTGTGAATATCATGTAGGTGGCGCTTCAAGTCTCCTCGTCGCAAAAACATCTGCTTGCAGATCATGCACAGGACGACTGAACGAGAAGGAAAAAAACGTGGAAAAGTAAAATATAACTTCTGCAAGTGGATTTTAGTGTCTTAAATCTTTGGATTTTCTGTTTAGATTGATGATTTGTAGACTAAAGTCAGTTCATTTCTCCAGGTGAATAATCCATCTAATATCCATATAATAATTTATATAGATATGTGCAAAACTGAAAGAAAGTCTTGAAAACAGTGACAGATGTTTGTTATATTGCAATTACTTTTTTCACAACATGAAAATAAATACACATGATAACGGAGATGCTGGTTGGCTGTCATACAAGTTTTTCAATGCACAAATCCAGAGAAACTAAAGGAAAAAAAATTAAGACATATTTTCTACTTAAATTAAGAGTTACTTAGTCCCTCTATAAAATTTTTGATAATGATTATAAAGACCTCAGTAAAAGTCACATTATTTCTCAAAATTTCATGTTATATTTACACTTAAGGTTCTTATTGTTTTTGGGTGTGTGTATGTGTATGTGTATGTGAGAGAGAGAGAGAGAGAGAGAGAGAGAGAGAGAGAGAGAGAGAGAGAGAGAGAGAGAGAGAGAGAGAGAGAGAGAGTGTGTGTGTGTGTGTGAGAGAGAGAGAGAGAGAGAGTGTGTGTG